GACACCACTGGCCCTCACCCAAAAAAAGCAATCAAAGAGATTTTGTTTACATAAGTGCAAAACAAAAAGAAATTTTGTTTAGAACAGCTCTCTGGACAATTTAATCTTTTTAAAAGTGCAGCCTTTAAAAAGGACAAAAAAAAATCTATATCTATATATATATCTATATATATATAGATATATATATATATATATATATATATATATATATATATATATATATATATATATATATATATTTATTTATATATATAAACATATGACTGTAAATTTACAGTTCCAACATAAAAAAATATGATACAATAACAACTTTTACTAAACATTCAGCAGTCTAATGGCAGCGGGGAAGAAGCTGTTTCTGAACCTGCTAGTCCTGCATCCAATGCTGTGAAGCCTCTTCCCAGAGGGCAGCAGGGAGAACAGTCCATGGTGGGGGGGGGAGGGGTCACTGATGATGTTACGGGCTCGGGACACGCAGCGCTAGGATGAAATGTCCTTGATGAAGGGAAGAGGAGCCCCCATGATCCTCTCTGGTGTTCTCACCTTCTTCCAGTCTGAGGCGCTGCAGCCTCCACACCACACAGTGGGACAGCTGGTAAGAACGATCTCCATGGTGCTTCTGTAGATTCATTAATTCCCCTCTTGGGGTTCAGGCACTGGGCTCCACAAGGAGTTGATCCCAACAATGTGCCCCCCCCCCCGTCCTGTTTTATTTTACATTAATTTCTAATTTAAGCAGGGAGTGGCGGTCTAGTGGTTAGGGCATAGAGCTTGGAATCCTGAGGTTCTGAGTTAAAGCCCCACTCCCACAGACTGCCACTCTGGCTCCCTAAGCAAGACCCTTGCTCCCCGGGTGCTGCACAATGGCAGCCCACTGCTCCCCCAGGGGATGGGTTAAATGCAGAGGTAAATTTCTCCAATGTGAGATCAATAAAGTTCAATTATTATTACTCGTCCACAAGGTGCACACTTAATTGGAGTGCGCAGCGGGTAGATAATGTTGAGACAGGGCCCTGGAATGTAGTGTTGAAGTCAAGACCACACCAACCGAGACCAAGGAGTACCAAGACCTGGACATTTCCCAGAAATGGGCACACCCCCTCGCCTGTTAGGTTTTTTTAAAACTTAATTGGTGCCTGATATTACAGCCAGTACTCGAGATGATTACCCCTATCATCCCCCTTCTTAAATGACCATCCCCCCCATACCATCCCCTGTGATATTTTATTACTGAATGTGTAAAATTTCTACCATATATTAACAGTAATGGCAATAATAGTACCCTTTCAACATTTGGTGGGCTGTGGGCTTATGAGTTAGCCTGAAGTAGTCCTACTCAATTCTAGTCAGAATATGAGTCTGATACTGCTCCATAGAGCTGTGATTATGGGGCGTGTTTTGAATGAACCAGAAAAAAAAATGCCTTTGCAATCAATTGGATAGATCTAAAACCAATAAGAGCAACGGAGTGCGTGACGTATGTTAAGCGATGCATAGTTGTTGTCAACAAAAATCAAAGCGTGCAGTTGCACGCCTAGAATAAGATGAGCCTTGATCGCGTTTCTCTGTTCCTCTTTTAAAATTAATTTGCTGTCGATATCTTCTAGAACAGACCTAATAGCAGAATCTACTCACCTCAACTCTCCAGCGGCAGCCATTGTTGTTGTCACCCATGCGCGCTTTGGTCACGTGGTTGATTACGTTACTGTTGATCATCTGTCCATCATCGTATAAAGCCTGCCCTGACAATTTGATTGGATCGCCACAGGGTGGGCGATCATACTCGCGCTACTATGGAGCAATGCCAGACCGAACTTCCCGACCTCAAACGTTGTGGGCGGGACTAAGTTCGGAATGGCACCCAGGCTACTTATGAGTAGCCTGAGCAAAATAAATAAAACCAAAGAAGTGTCCTACCATGACTATGAAGCTGATCTCAATGGAAAATTAGTCCCTAACTCTGTAGGAGCAGTGATAGCCTACTGTAAGGTGCCTTGGTCAGGGTCAATGATCGCTGCTTTAGGTTAATAGACTATATCAATTAGGTTATGCATGCTTCAAAAAAAAATAAATAAATAATCCATCATCCCTTCTTTTTTTTTTTGTACAGCTAGACTACTGATTACAGCACATCATCTGAGGCCTGCTTTACAAAGCAGATTTACTAAAAACTCTCTTTTCTAAACCTGAAAACAAGGAAATACAAAAGGGATTTTCCTCAACCTCTGATTCTGTCACCACTGTAAGATTCTCCCAAAGCTAACCTTGTCAGCAGGTTTTATCTAAATAAAACCAGTGTCTTCTGTCTCCGCTCTCCTTGGACCCAATCAAGTTGTTTGATTTCCTGACTTATTCAGCTTAGTATTGTCGTAGTTTTATCCAAACAATAAAAAACAAATCCTTAACTAGGTCCATTATACGTTTAAAAAAAAAAAAAACAAACACAACATGACCTTTAGATGAGGATCAAATTAAACAATCACACATTATAACAAAGTACAGAAGAGACCTTCTGTCTTTTCTTGCTGGGGCCTTGACAGGCTGCATTCATGGTATGATACCGCCCCCTAATGGTCAATTGTTTACTTTCACCTAAAACCTTTTAGATTAAATTATTTTCCTTCTAATAGTAAATTAACAGAGAGTCAGTTATTCAACAGACTGATTTATTGGAACATTTATTGAAATTAATATTTTATTTTAGCAGAAAACATTTATCCCTTTATTGTCTGATTAGCTGACAAAAACATACACAGAAGAAATATGTTGATAAATGCGCATTTAGAGCAGGGATACCAAAACCACAGACAGCGACTGTTAATGATATTTGCTGGAGACATGTTCCAAAGCTGGAGCAGAGCTCTGTAGCATGCAGTAAGAAAAGCAAAGGAAATTCTGTAGCTTTAGTTCTCCGGTTTAAAGGTCATAGCTTCAACTTTTTCATCCAAATAATTAACAGGCAGGGGGCCCTCTGAATTGAGAAGACAAAACATAAAACAGACCCCTCTCTTCTTGTCCCTTTTCTTGTTTCTCTATGTTTTTTACTCAGCTGACTTTTCATGCTGTCTCTAAAGGAATGAAATATTGTTTCCAAGCACTAAGCTCACTTAGCTGATTGCTCCTTCCTGTGTTTCCAAAAAGGCCAAAGTAAATAACCCAGTCCTTCTTTTCACTGTAGACAAGCCATGATCTGCTTCTCTGTTCTCCATTTTTCATTTGGATGAAATAATAGCTGCATGAATCATGACAGCAGACAAGATAGAGGAGAGCAGGAGGCGGGGTTACCAATCTACTTGCTCTGGAGAGCAGAGTTCGCTGCTTTTAGATGTTGTAGCCAAAGTCTCCAGTAGCAGAAAAAAGTCGCTAGATTTGGCTAAGTTGGCAGCCCTGCTCTTCTCTTTGTTTTCAAATAGTTTGCTGCTGTCTGTTTGGACCTTTCTGCACATACGCAGCAAATGGACTGATCCATTGTGGTAGACAGTAAAGGGGGCCCCCCCCCGAGACACACTTAATATTATAAGTGTTCTGATGGCATTTTAAAGAAAGGATTTTTATCAAAAACACATTTAAAAAATAAGTTTTCTGGGGTCTCAAGGAACTTTGGGCCCCTATACAACTGCCTAGTTTTGCCCAATAGTAAATCCCCCCTGAATAAGTGTTAGATTTGCTAAAAAAAAAAAAAAGTTTCAAAAAATGTTTTTCATTTATTTTGATGGGTCCAAAAATCATTAAGACTTATTTCTACTCTAATGCTGACAAAAAGTTTCTGCAGCAATAGCACCAATAGCTGGTAGGTGAGCTCAGATGTTGCCAGATCCTAGAAGCTCCATGACAGAGCGGAGAAATGGATTCTTCTCTGCTTTATATTTCTCAGACTTCAGAGGAACATATCTCAAAAAGAATCCAAATGAAGGAGAACACCAGTCACGCTTCAGAGCGTTGGTGTTAGGTTAAACGTTGGGTTTGTTAGCATTAGCATTAGTCAAATGGAAAAGAGTACAGAACAAGAGTGGGCGAAGGCACCACCTACTGGCCACCAGGAGTTAAATCAGCTTTAATGTCATTACATTTTTAAAAAGATGTTATGGTAAACTATTAAAAAAGGTGCAAACTTAAATAAAAAAGGAAATATTGACATGCAGCTCTTACATATTTTATTAAAATCTCTTCTTTAAATAAATAAAAGTACTCCTTTAAAGGAAAAGTCCGGTCAGCAAGAAATTATCAGTGGATCACTATTTATACCTAAAACTAATACATTCGCAGTGATTTAATGAATTCAGCGTTAATCGGTAAAAAAATTTAAATAATAATTTTCGTTGCGATCACTGATTCAGGGAGTGGCCATTTTTGCCCTAATATAGTAACACTTATCATTTATTGAAAAGTATGTAATAATTTCATATTTAAAGTACTTTTAGAGGTTTTAATTCTATATATGACCGGACTTTTCCTTTAAAAAATAGGACATTTTGTTTGTTTACCCAATTTAAAAGTCAAAACGATTCTTCCCGCATTCATATTTCTTGTCTCGTCATCATTCAGCGAATCATCTGCTTATTAGACATTAGATCTAACTTTCCTTCTAAACTCAAGTCTGGTATAGTTCAGTTTTTAGTGGCTCTTAAAGGGCCTCAAACCGACAGCTTCAAGGTATAATACACATAATTTAGCTTTGGCGCAGGAAAGGCGTTTTGTTAGCTCATGCTAACAGAGAGAACTGTGAGCTATTAGCTATCAGGCAAGGCAAATTTATTTGAGAATTTTTAGCTAGTGTAGCGCAGATGGCATTTTTTGGCCCCAATACCGAAACCCGATACCTGGCTGTGCAGTATCGGCCGATACCGATAACATCTGTTTGAAATTGATGTGTGTGTGTATATATTAAGAACTACATACTACTTGGATATAAAATAATTGCCATCATGGCTTTGTCAAGCTGCTGCCTACCTTTGTGAAGCAGGAAAAAGACGAATACAAAGTGAATCCAGTAGAACTTTGTATAGCCTACATGGAATGGGTGACAATAGCTGAATAAACTTTTGGCTCTCAAATGGTATCTGTGCCCTATTTATTGGTACTCGCCGATAGGATACCACCATCTTAGTGCTGGATCGGGGCCCCGCATGATACTGGTATCGATATCAGTGCAACAGTAGTTTTAACTTAATACTCGGAGCTCTGCGAGCGCTTCATTGGAAGCTGCTGCTGCCGAAGTGCATGCTGGGACAGCTATCAAAGTCAAGAATGGACAAATCTGCTTTGATGCATACTGGACATAGGGGCGTGAACAACATCCGGGTACTTGTCCGTTCTCTGACTTTTGCTCTTGTGAATTGGAAAAGTGCTAGGGCTGAGGTTAATGATGTTTTACGAGCACATGAGAACACAAAAGTAGACATACTGAGAAACGGCCATAGATTGAAACGGGCTAGCTTGGTTTGTTCAAAGATAGGAGTTCCAGAAGTCTCAAATCGACTAAATGAATTTTTTTTATATTTGCTTGAGATGGTTTTCGACTTCTTAAAAAAAGAGTAAAGGCAGTAAAGAGGAAATGGAAATACATTGGTCTAATAAGTTCTGATGTCATATTTACCTCAAATGACTGATCAGCTTAATGCTAGCATTAGCACTGAGTCAGATGATGGCGACCCCGCATACGCTCTATACTGCTTTGTCATTAGGATTTTTTTATGAGTATTTCCTCTAAAATACTTTGGTAATCTTTCTTCTAATGATGTGTGTGTTGAGCTAATTAAAGTGTTTTTTAGGAACTTTGACCAATCTGATCCAGATCCTTTAATGCCTCATCGACGTTCATCAATCGAAGTAATAGTTCTGAACAAAGATGGCGTTAGAGCCTCTGTAGACAGGAGAGAAGTTATAGATAAGAGCTTTGTCCTCTTCAGCAGGATTGGAGAACCGGTGCTGGCTCTTCATGGCTGGAGGGAAGACAAGGCCACTTTGACTGACTAAGATTATTGATTGGGCTAAAACAGAGGTTGGTGAAAACCTAGAGCAGGGGTCGGCAACCCGGAGAACAAACATTTCTGTCAACCAAAATGTGCATCATAGCCATAGATCAGTGGTCATATCCTGCAACACATGTTTTAGTGCCAGGCAAACAAAGCGGTGGGTGTGTCTCAGGCCATGGACACCAAAGGGGAAATAAAGGAAGGTAGCTGATGAGAACCGAGGATTTAAAGAAGAATGGAGCGAATCATTTGCTTTTATTACAATGTGGAAGGATTGCCTGCATGTTTGCTTTGGAATGAGTTTAAAAAATAAAATGAAACAGGCATTTCATGGGAAGGCTAAATATTCAGTTTCATATTTAAATTCAAAGATAGATTTAAGAAGTGGATTGCATCTCCCAACTCAACTGCTGCTGCTAGTTTGGTTGTAAGCATAGAAAACTATAGATAGAGATAGATTGAACAAGTAGCTCTCTGATGCAGGTAAGAAAGTTATCTTCCATTTTTTCCCCCCAAATCCTCAAAATAAAAATAAGACCAAGGAACGCTGGTGACGGAGGATGTGGGATTTCAGGGTTACAGAGCTCTGCTCTGATGGACGTCAGTTCCTGCTTGGTTCCTCGTGACTCAATCAACTCCTCCCAACAGAAACACATCCAATTCAATGCAACAATGCAATAAAACCTAAACTGCACAGTGAAGCGGTGCAAGCTGAACTCCACGCATTCACTGCTCCTTCATCACCTCATGTTACTATGCTCCAGGATTTAATTATGAACGCTTATTATATATTTAAGCCCACATAGTCCTTTTTTTATAGTGGGCTAATACACTTAGAGCCTGTTTTGCCATACAAGGCTCATAGGAGACTTTTACAGACAGATTCGTTTTTTGGTCCAATGTGGCTCTTTGGGCAGTTTGGGATGCCGACCCCTGATCTAGAAGTGTTCAAACTCTGGTTCTATACGTTACCTTCTGAGACGAAGAAGCTTCCAGTGTAGAAACTGACTCTCACAGCAGCGACGGTGTGAACCATGCCTGGTTTATCGATCCACTCAAAAGGACTCTTCTCTGGATGCCACTGCACTGCGTAGAATGGATACCGATACGCTGAGGAGGACCACGGACAGTGTTAGGAGGCTTTATGAGGACCGGCCTTTCATTTTAATCTAAAACCACAGACACCTTCTCCAGTTCTGAGAAAGACCTACACTGCAAAAAAATTTAATCTAAATGAGTCATTTTTTCTTAAAATAAGTGGATTTAAGTGAGACACTTTGCCAATGGACAAGACAATTTACACTTAAAATAAGAAAACACAATTGTATTGTCTTATTTCAAGTGAAAATAATTATCTAATTATCTTATTTTAAGACTAAAAATACTCATTCCATTGGCAAATTATCTTATTTACTTACTCAAATTAATGGTAAATACACTTAATTTAAGAATTTTTTTTCTAATTTTTAGATGGTTTTTGCAGTGTATAGAAGCCTGAACCATTCCCAGGCCACCACCCTACTGCATGTCCTAGGTCATCCATCCCTCTCCCTAATCACAGAGCTCCTCTTCCTCTCTCTAAGGGAGAAATCTCTCCATCCAGTCCACATCAGACCAGAATAGAATTTAAAATCCTCCTTCTCACATAAAAAAATGTCCAAGCTCCATCTGATATAAGATATATGATTGTTCCTTATTATCCTAACAGAGCACTTCGCTCTCAATCTGCAGGTTTACTAGTGGTTCCTAGAATTTCTAAAAGTAGAATGGGAGGCAGATCTTTTAGTTATCAGGCTCCTCTCCTGTGGAACCAACTACCAGTTTTAGTCCGTGAGGCAGACACCCTGTCTACTTTTAAGGCTAGGCTTAAAACTTTCCTTTTTGATAGAGTGGCTCAGGTTATATACGGCATATATATATATATATATATATATATATATATATATATATATATATATATATATATATATATATATATATATATATATATATATATATATATATATATATATATATATATATATATATATATGCTGTATATAATTATTTGCTCATGTTTATTTATTCAATAATTGAAGATTTTATTTTTTATTTTTCTGATATATGGTTTTATTAAAATAGGATTAATTAATTGCAGACCCCATGATAAACCTTGCGATCTGAGTCACAACCCTAACTTATAATTCTAAATAAGATTTAAAAAAAATTCTGAAAACTTTCTGCAGGAGTTAAGGTTTCCATAGGGTGTTGGCGCCATCTGGTGGACATCCATTTTATTGCATGATTTAATTCTCTCCAGTTATATCAGATGTTGAAATCATATAAAAGATCAAAGATCATTATTCCAGCAGGAATCTTATCCCAGAGGTTTGTTAGGATAAAATATCCTCATCCATTACTGCCATTACCATCAACAACAACCTAAATCATGAAATGGGAATAAAACATTCTTATCAAATAAACAAATTTAGCATAAAATAATTTTATTTATAATAATTAGCATTTATAAATGTATTTAGTACATGATTAAAGCATTAAACCTACAATTAATTTATTAAATGGACCATTAAATAAATAAAATGCATTTAAATAATGAACGAAATTGAATCCTTTACTTATAAAGAAATATGGGTGAAGTCTGTATTTTCAGAGGGCGTCTGGTTGGTTTAGGGGTCACAGGAATGTTGGGGAAGCACATTAATGAGGGACGCTACCTTCCATGGTGGAGATGAACTCTTTCTCTCCGTCGCTGTTGGTGGACAGAACTTTGTAGAACCTCTTCAGTTTGCCATTCCGGCTGTAGTTCTGTAAAGACAGATAATCCATTTGGATCCGTCCAACATCAACACAATCAGAACCTGTGTCGCTTCTTCTCATTATATTATATCATTTATTAACTTATAATCAGTTATACTGACAACGCAAAACATTTAAATGTAAGGCGGTCCATTTTTCTTACTTCCATTTGAGCTGATGAATCAGACAGTTTGACAAAAGAATCAGATGATTTATGTTTAAAATAAGAGCAATCAACTCCATTTTCCATCTTTTCAAGAGCATAAAATCTAATTATCTTATACAGTAGTAGCCATTCAAAGTTTCCCCACTTTCTTTGATGGGTCCCTGGCTGGTCCCCTACAATCTTTGTCCTAAAATATTCTTTCTGTCATGATTTGTGGACATTAATGTCTAAAGAGAAGCGCCATCTCCTGGTCACAGCTTGTAATTCAGTGAAAGGGTGGAGTCGGAGTAAAAAAATATGCAGGCCCAGGAGAAGGTCAGAGGCTGAAAGTTGGAGAGGAGTCTGCTGGGAGCTGCAGGGAAGTTGGCTGCCATTTAGTGGGCGTTTGCTTTGGAAGGGTCATTTTGAATGGCTGCTATTGTAAAGCAACATAAACTTTTTTTATCTGCAGATCATGTGACCTAGCTGCTCAGGTTAATATTTTAGGAAATGTTCATTTTTAGATCAGGATTGCAGTGTGTAGCTTTAACAATGATGTCACTCACTACAACAAATCAAATCTAAGTCAGTCCATTTTCGTAAATAAATATATATCAATTGTTTTTGGCAAATAAGTCAGACAATTTTCCAGTGATATAAAATTATTTACACATAAAATAAGGCAGGGAAACTCATAATTTCTAGCGTTGCTAAAAGGAGAATAAGATAATATTTTAGTTATTGGGCTTCTCTGCTTTTTTCAAATATTAACAACAAAGATTTGACCATAATTCAGCCACATTACAAAATAGGTATTTTGTTCTGTTTTTTTAGGCAGATAAGGCAGACAAATTTGCCAATAGAGGGAGATGATTTAAGCTTAAAAAAAGATCAAATGAACCATTTTTCTTATTTCAAGAGATTGAAATCCAATTATCTTATTATAAAGACAAAGATCATCTGCTTTACCTGCTTAAATTAAGGGCAAAAGGTTTATTTTAAGACATCTTTACTAATCAGGTTTTGCGGTACAACAGTAAAAATATGCTTTTCATTTTTAGACTGTTACGTATTAGAAGACTGGAGGCAGACATATAATAAAATTTCATATTTCCATCAGTTTTCTTGCTGTTTTTCATCCCTTCAATGACCTGAACAGAAGGTGTCTAAAAGGAAAACCAAAGCTACTGTTAGGCTTTATTTCAGTCACTGCAACAAAAATCCATGAAGTCCATTTTTTTCCTGTGATTTGAGCAGATAAATCACATAATCTGTTAATAGAATAAGATTATTTATGTTGAAATCTCATTTTATCGGTATCAAATCTCCCTCCATTGGTAGATCATCTGATTTAGGTGCTTAGATTAAGAGAATCCGTTTTTTTTGCATTGTCGTTCACATTTCCAAATATATGCGACTTGTATGTGATCCCTGTATGAACTGCATTCAAACAGCTTAATTGTCCCGCATGCACAGTGGAATGACATCACAGGCCAGTGTGCTGTGTTTACGGAAGTAAACGTGGATGTTAGAGCTGGAGCGCATCTAACGATCTTTCCCAGCCATAAAAACACAATCTTTTCAGTATAAATACTGCTTTCAGCATCATCGTCCGCCATGGTTGTTGTTTTTCCTGCCGCTTCTGTGTAGCAACATGCAGAAGTGACCCTTGTCGGGTATTAATGGCATACAGGTCTGATGACACTGGCCGTTCAGACACAGATCGCATTTAAAAAGATCAGATTCGTATCGGATTCATTGGAAAAAATCGGATCTGTGTTGTTCAGACTGTCATGAAAAGATCAGATCCAGGTCGGATGTAGGCAAAAACAATCGGATTTGGGTCACTTCATGCTGCAGTGTGAACGTAGCATTTGGGGGCATGGAGGTGAAAAAGCAATAAAAACCTGCATGGAGAGACTCCAGCTGTGGAAGTTGGAGGTGATGTTTTCATTGGCCAGAGACTGCAGCACATCTTTGGGGAAGTTCCTGAATAAGCGACTGGATTGGGCCACTGCAGGAGAAACAGCAAAACACAACCAAAGCTTATTTCAGAGACCTGATCCTTTCTACACAGAATAAAACAAAGGAAACGAGTGAAGGAAAAACGTCTCAACCAGGTTTTATTTTTTCCTTAGAAAACAAACAAAACTACTGATAAACCAACTAAACCAACCAATCTAATTTGGAAGTGTTTTTGTCTAATCTATATTTTTACCAGGGAAAACCAAAAGAAATTAGTCACATTAGCCAAAATTCTTCATAAGTATAATAACAACTTTCAAAAATCTGATGTGGGTATTGAACCACCAACCTTAGAATTGGAAGTCAGTGTCTTACAGCTGACTCCACCAACACTGATAAGTAGCGCAATAGTGCTTAACACTAAAGCTAAAACTGTATCCAGCGGCTTGCTCAGATTTTTATCATTACATTTTTAATCTAACTAAAATAGTTTGAACCAACTAGATTGGTTGTTTTTCCAACCAATCAATTCTTAGAATCTATCCAAACTCTTTCCACCTGACAGCAGTTCTCCTACAAACTCCCACATCTTGACTGAAAACTGAGGCTGTTTAAATGCCTGTTGAAGTTCCTGCGCTTCCTGAACCACTTCCTGAAGCGGCCACCTGGTATCACGGTAGCGAGGCTTCGGATCTCATCAATTTTGGCCCCTCCCCTAAATGAATCACGCCTCGACACGGGCTTCAGGGAAACGCCTTCGCCCGGAACTTAGGCAGGCATTTAAAGTCGTAGGGAAGCAGCCGTTCCAACCGTTGCATCTCCGAATTCTCCTGAGTTGTGCCCGATTTTACACGAGTGAATAAAGTGAATGTGATTGGTCGTCTATCTAGGGGGTGGGGTTGTTGTGGCGGAAGGTTCACAAGCACTTTGATTGTGGCCGGTGTAGGTACCAGATTGACTCGGGCTGCCAGATTGACTCGGGGGCCTGCGCCTTTTGATGACGTCACAATGCATAATTGTTTTAACGTTTGCGCAATTGCGCAAAACATTTTGATTGGTCTGGACAGCTTACTAAAGTAATTATAGCGGGGTGTAGGTTTTATTCGAAAGCGGGATTGCGGTTTGTAAACGGACAATTTTACGAAGAAATTCTCCATGGTCCCTGCGCCTTCCGATGACGTCACCGAATTCGCCATGGGCCTTGCGCCTCCCGATGACGTGACATTATGGCAACGCCACTCAAACAAACTACATTGAGCCCGCGGTCTGCATTGTTAACGAGAATAAATTCAGGAGAATGAAGCTAAAGGGATACAAAAAATAAACTTGTAATATTACAAAACCAAAAATACTACGAATACAAAGTATATTCAGAGATTAAAGTCCCTCTGATACTGTTTAAGTGACTGAGAAACTGCAGATTTGCCACATTTAAGATGGCGGACGCTCTGACGCATCTCAAAAGGCGCAGGCCCCCGAGTCAATCTGGCAACCCGAGTCAATCTGGTACCTACACCGGTTTCCCTATAGCATCTTGCTAACCAGTTAGCAACTTAGTGCTAGTAGGTTCCCAATGGGAAATTTCATTGGGACCAAGTAGCTCTAAATTGGTGACTTAGAAACGACGCTGTCAAGGAACGCTATGGACAGAGGAAACATGCAAGAGGAGGAGAGTTTTGTTTTTTGTCAATCAAAATGCTATGACTGAAAAATTTGATTGACAGATGATGGTTGATATATGATTGGCTGAATTTAGGAGCACAAGCTTACGTATAACTAACTGGCCTGCATAAAATAATGAAGAAAAAAAAAACAGATTTTAAGAGGATTTTTTTTTTTATAGAAATGTTCTAAATTTCAGGACAATATCATCTGATAACGAGTACATTTATATACATGTTTCAGCCAGAACGATTTGACATTTAGATATGATTTCCCTATGACATTAAAGAACATCAGGGTTCAGTCAAGATGTGGGAGTTTGTAGTTTGTAGAGTTTGACAGAGTTTGGATATATTCTAAAAATATGTTGGTGGGAAAAACAACCAACTAACAAAAGAAGCCAAACGACCAACCAAAGGGTTGGATCCGATCATCTATTTCAATTTGCATGTTTTCTAAACCAAAACAAGGCTTTGTTGGGCTACTGTAGAAAGTCTGGAAATCAAGGCTATTTCTGACATTTTGAATTAAAAAAGCTTCCTGAATGGGAAGCGAGTAGATTGGTAACCCCGCCTCCTGCTCTCTTCTATCTTGTCTGCTGTCATGATTCATGCAGCTATTATTTCATCCAAATGAAAAATGGAGAACAGATAAGCAGATCATGGCTTGTCTACAGTGAAAAGAAGGACTGGGTTATTTGCTTTGGCCTTTTTGGAAACACAGGAAGGAGCAATCAGCTAAGTGAGCTTAGTGCTTGGAAAAAATCTTTCATTCCTTTAGAGACAGCATGAAAAGTCAGCTGAGTACAAAACATAGAGAGGAAAACAACAAGAAAAGGGACAAAAAGAGAGGGACACAACCTAGAACAGATAATGGATGTTTGTTCTATTAACATTTCTCTATCTGTATTATGGGTCTTTTTTATGTCTTGTCTTCTCAATTTAGAGGGCCCCCTGCCAGTCTTTGCCTAGGGCCCCAAATTTCCTAAACCCGCCCTTGTTTATAAATATAATATAACTGAATGGAGCTGCAGTTTTTATCAGATGGCTGTAAAGAAAACTCCCTGTAAACCTGTAGGACTTTCCTTTCCACTTTCTCATATTTCTGCTGAATATTTACTCCACCTGGAGTGAGAAGGAGAGGCAAAGCCACGGCCTTGGTCTTGGTCAGGGTGAGCAGATTCTTCCGAGCCGTGAGGACAGAGAGCTGCTGGAAGCCCTGGCATGTCCCCCAGATAGGAAAGTAATCGCCCGCATCGTTGGCCTGAAGAAGGTGAGGAGAGGAAGAGTTAACAGGTCAGAACAAATGAGGGAGAAAGATTTTTGCTTCTATTGTTAGGTTTATTCAATGATGGCTTTTCATTCCGCTCCTGCTTGAATCTCTTTACTGTGTAGACTCAATTTCTATTTATTTGCAAACCCACATTTTCTGAATCCAACTATCCTGCAGCACAGCTGGATCAGATGTCAGAGAACATCTGGAGCTCAGCAGCCCGACGTCACAAACGTCTCACCTTCAAAGCCAAGTTGTAAAAGATCCTGGCGGCTCGACTGAACTGGGAGGTTTGGATGTCGACGTCTCCACCGGGAAGCAGCAGCCTGAAGGAGCACAGACGCCATCAATTCAGCCATAAAGCTGAGATTTAACACAATAAATGAAACTTTACTGAGTTAAGAACTGGATGGTGAATACTACTTATACTTCAGCGATAGTATCAAGATGTTACTTTATTGTTTCTTTTATACTATATCTGTTGGTTGTGCTGTTCTTTTTTAATCTGTTTGCAGGTGATTAGGCAGACTGAATATGTTTTATCGTTATCTCCCTTTTATCTCCTCTTTCTTTCATATTTTCACCTTTTTTTTCTCCCTTTCCTGTTCTACTTACATTGCAGTGTCCATATAATCTGTAATACTCCCTGCATGAATTATAATAAAGCTATTTATATGCTTAAATCAAGCGGAACACTATGGCAATAGCCGTACTGCTCAACTTGTGAAAGCAAGCTCTGTTGGGCTCTTTTTGGCATCAAGATATTGCCACATTACCAGAAGGGACACTGTTAGAAAAAAAAAAAAAAAAAGAGCTGGATGGTGAATAATTTCTCTAATATCTGTGCATTTAATTAATATGGCAGCAAACTGCTTATGTTCAATCAGCGTATTATGGAGTGAATTTTGTTCCTTTATTGTTTAACGCAGTTTTTGGGAATTAAACTCTGCAAAAACATTTTATCAACCAAAAAAAAAAAAAAAATGGTCTTAAGACAAATTTTCTGCTTGCTTTTCTCATATTTTGTTTATCTTTTATTTCTTAACTTCAGGAAATTTTTAATTTGCATTTCTTTCTTATTCTTATTGCATTTTTAATGTACATTTTATATATTTTAACGTTTAGTTTGTTCAAATTTTATTTATTATTTTCTGGAGGAAATAAATCAAAATACAAAAGCTGTAAAAATTCGGAAAAAAATCCCAACTGAAAAATAAATAATGAAACACTAAAAGCTTTACAAATGAATGAAATAAAAAAATCTGTTTTGTTTTTTTTGCTTCTTGCTTCAATTTATACAAGTTTCCTTAAAAAAAAAAACATGTTCTTCGCAAAAACAAATGGAAGAAAACTTCATATGTTTTAGTGAAAATGAAGAGATTTGGTTTATCATTTTTGCTTCCCCTAGTGGTATTAGGTGGGAACTGCAGAACTGCAAAAAAAAAAAAACAACTAAAGGCCTGGTTATCCTCCAGCAGCAGTTCTCGCGCACTTCGCTCTTCCAGCTTGTTCTTCTATTTTTCAATGCTGGTCATACAAACAAAACAAGCAGGAAATACGCATAATGTAGAGTGGATTTAGATTTGACCAATCAGAGGCCTCCTGTCTGCTGCAGCAACAATTTTGGAGAGGTGAAGCAGAGCCCTGGTAAATAGGAAGGGAAAGGAAGATGGCGATGCCCACATTCGGGTTTTAAGCAGGTTTTTAATGTAAGTTGCTGCACAGTTTTGATTTGGCAGGTGTGGATCCAGATGTGCGCCAAGAGGGGCCAGGCCCCCCACAGAACAGTCCTTGATTTCTAACAGCAACTGATGGTTCCTTGGATCCGTTTCCGGTTTTATTTTAGCTGTGATGTAAAAATCAAGGGTTTTCTTAATTGATTTTCATCTTATTTACGTTATGTTTTCTTTATTTATTTGATGCGTGATTCAAATATTAAATATATCAATAAAATCATTAAATCAATAAATATCCCCTTAAATTGAAAAAAATGCATTTAAAAAGATATAAAATCTCAAAATATAAAACTAAATTAACTTTCACAATAATAATATGAAAAAGTAATTAGAAAAGTAAAAAAAATGATAAATTATGTTGATTATATAGATCGATTGTGAGGTAATTTTGTGCATTTTAGGGTGTCACCAGTCTGTTTTTGCTTTTTTTATTTTTTATTTTTATTATTTTACTCTGGAAAAAGGTGAAGTGAGAAAACGAAAACCAACTCACCCGTTTATGGAGTTGAATATCTTTATATATTCTTCTTCTGTGCGATTGATTCTGCGGGGAAAAAACACAAATAGAGAAACAGTTTATTTATAAAAAGGATTTCTAGGGCTAAATCTAAGGAGTATTTAGCAAATCGATTAATCTGTTGATTATTTTTTTGATTAATTTATTAATAATTGGTGCCTTAAAGAAGATTTTTTATTAAATTAAACCAGTTGGAACTAAAACTTTTCCACTTGAGAAGTTCTGGATAGCGCATATTGACATTTTTTTTTTTTTATTTTACAATAAATACTGTTTATATTTTTCTGTAAAATGTTGGTATGATTACTGCTCTAAGTGGATCGCTCTGTCAGCTAATAGCATGTTTTACAGTCTCTATACTTTAGTTAACGATTAATCAGTTACTAAATTAGTGGATATTATTTCAATAATCGATTAACCAGATTAATTGTTTCAGCCATAAGGGTTGAACTGCACATTCATGGATGTAGAAGGAAATATAGTGCGATTATAAAAGCTCAATTCTAACCAAAAGGTTTTTGAATCAAACCTTTTTCATATTTCTTTTTCTATCTTTGAGCCTAAACTCTATAGGAGGACGGGAGGTGGGATTAGGGGACCCATTGAAAGGCTTGGATTTATGACCTCAAACTACAGGAAGTGCTATACGATCGAATCAACCTGTTTTTCAGTGTAGTCCTGTTTCTCTGACTATGACTGGCTGGATGTGCTTCATCCTCTACAATAGGAGCTGGCTCGGAGCTCGTCTGCCTGGCTGTGTTTTTCCTGGATGGGGCCGCCTTTACAGCTGCTTTTTGTATCTCTACTTCTGTCTCCTTGAACCCCAGTCAGCCTCAGCAGATGGCCGCTCACACTGAGCCTGGTTCTGCTGAAGGTTTCTTCCTGTTAAAAAGGAGTTTTTCCTCTCCACTGTCGCTACAAGCATGCTCAGTGTGAGGGATTGTATTCGAGTCAATGTAATCAACAGGTTTCCCTTAGATAGAAAACTTTGAATCAATCTGCCTGTATGATCTGGTGAACTGTAAAGTGCCTTGAGATGACATGTGTTGTGAATTGGCTCCATATAAATAAACTGAATTGAATTGCAAATCACAAATAAAATCTAGATATTTGTATAAAAACACTTTCAGATTGATTATTAATTCATTAATTGATTGAGCAATATGTATACTAAAACATCAAAAACTGGCAAAGCTTTTGAGATATTTCCCTGTTTCAGTAAAGGGGTGTGGCCTATCATCACAGACTCCGCCCACATTGAGTTCAACTGCAGCACCATGACTTGAAACGCTGTCAGTTGGATAGAGGAGAGAGGAGATGAGCATCTCATGTCAAGGAATCTTGCTCTTTTGTGTTTTTCCAGAAGGACTCCTATAAAAGGAGTCCCACCATCAATATGTTGAAGACAAACCAATAATTAATGATGGTGAGATGAAGTCTCATGAGGCATTGAACTGTTTGGCCAAATTGCTTCAATGATTGCCACAGCTCATGAGGCTTCATGTGAACATGTCACCACCTACTGGTGCAGGGCAGAACCACAGTTTATAATAAATTCTGTGATTGTTTTTGCAAATGTTTTTCTGTTTTTCCCCTTTTAAGTTCCCTTGAAATTGTTAATGGTTGGTGTGTATAATAAAATCTTTTGTAAGTTTTTTTTTTTAAGTGTAAAAAATTATGTGCACCAATAATTTAAGGTGCACAGTTTTTCTGCCATTTTAGTGAAATAAACTCAAGCAGACAGTGAAAGTGTTTGTGCAAATTGGGCAATGACGAACAAAATGAAAGGTGTTAGTCATTTTTATTCAAACATGATAGTTTTTCCAAGTTTTTTGGTTTTAATCATGTTGGAAGTTGAATCTTTTGACTAAACCGACACTAATTTTCCCAATCTATATTTTTACTCGGGCAAAACAATGCAAATTAGTCTCATCAGCCAAAATAATTAAGTTTAATCGCAACTTTCAAAAGACGAAGACAGGTCTTGAACCGTCAACCTCTAGAGTGAGAGCCTGTCTCTTACAGACAACACCACTCACGTAGATAGTTTGAACGTGTTAACACTGGCTGTGCCTGGTGGTTTGCTCAAATTTTGATCATTACATTGTTTATTCAAGCCAAATTAGCTTTAGCAACTAGATTGGTTGGAAAAACAACCAGTTTATTCTTAGAATCTATCCAAACTTTATCCAGCTGAGAGCAGCTCTCCTCCAAACTCCCACATCTTGAATGAACACTGAGGCTGTTTAGATGCCTGTCAAAATTCTTGCGCTTCCCGAACCACTTACCGAAGTGGTCACATGGTATCACGGTAGCGAGGCCTCGGACGTCGTCAATTTTGGCCCCTCCTCTAAATGAATCACAGCTCGACACACGCTTCGGGGAAACGCCCCCTCCATTACTCTACACACGCCTTGAAGCCTCGGCTCATCTCATTACATCACTACTAATAATGTTTTTATCTGCTTTAGAGAAATCCTGTGTCACAGAGAATCAGTTCCTGTTCTGGTCATTAAAGGCCCTCATTCACTCTGAGTGTCTGTAGGGTTTCCATTTTCCACTTGATAAAACAAAGAACATTAAGCACTGACTGAGTATGTGGGATTTCGGAGTAACACCGATGTGTTGGTGCATGCGTGGAGCCCATAGGGCAAAACACTGTATCGGTGCGCGTGTCGTTTCCACAAAGTCGTGACCGATACAGGAGTTGTTTCTAACCGACTGACTTAATAAACTATGTTTTAAAACATTTCTTTCAACATGATGCATCAGTGGAAAAAAAAAAGTTTAATCTTTTGCGGTTTTTCATTAAAATTATCAAGAATTTTGGAGGAGGCTAAAAGGAATAGGAACGTTTTAGCCATAGCGTTTTTTTATTTATTTAAATTTTCTCGTTGAGTCATCCTTTTCCTCTCAGTTATCACTCAACTCAGAAATCCCTTTCAGGTAAATCATTCATTCGTTCATTTTGATTTGGTATGAAGAGTAAAATGTAAACTAAAATACCAAAATATGGCAAAACTTTTGAGATATTTTCCTATTACAGTTAAAGGGGTGTGGCCTATCATCACAGACTCCGCCCACATTGAGCTCAACTGCAGCACCATGACCTTAAACGCTGTCAGCTGGATAGAGCAGACAGGAGATGAGCGTCTCATGTCAGGGAATCTTGCTCTTTTGTGTTTTTCTAGAAGGACTCCTATAAAAGGAGTCCTACCATCAATATGTTGAAGACAAACTAAAAATGCTTCTATCTGCTTTAAAGAAATTCTCTGTCACAGAGAATCAGTTCCTGTTCGGGTCATTGAAAGTACTTATTCATTCTGAGTGTCTGTAGGCAGCTGATCACACGCCGTCCTGCCCCACCAGCAGCCAGAGAGAGCAACCTGAGAACGATCGTTCTGAAGGGTTTTCATTTTCCACTCGATAAAACAAAGAACGTTAATGATTATCAGGATGGTTTAACTTAAATAATTAAGCTTAACTGCTACCTTAAAAACATGAGTTAACTTTTAAGAAAAGGTTTCACTCAACTCAGGAGGGAAAGTTGTCAAAGTTTCTCAGTTAATTTACTGCAGCCTCAGTTCCACTGCCCTCTGAAACCGATCCGTGACGAGTTCGGACCGAGCTTGGATCAGTTCACCGTGCCGTTCACGACCACGCTAGCACGGTTCCTCACCTCCTAGTGGCGATCTATGGTACTACTGCTCTCTAGAATGTAAACAAGCAGGGGCGGCACCCGTAACATTCAGGAAGTTATGTTTTGTTATCTTTGTGATATTTCATTGTTTGCAGAGAGTCAGGCGAAGAAGGCAGCCTTTGGTGGATTTACCTGACAGAGTCGGCTTTAGGGAAGTGGATACGACAAACGATAGTCTACTCCACTGCATGAAAAGTGGGATTTTCGTCAATATGCGGCACTGTAGGTTGTCGTGGAACTTCGGGTTAGCGGCAGTTTACGACAATTTGCAGGCTTCGCCGAAAACTCCCGTAAATTGTCAGAAATTGACGTGGACTCTCTTAGGCAGTGTCCCCCCCCCCCCCCCCCCCCCCCCCCCCATGGAATTCTAGGGGAGGCTTTAACATGTAAATGAACATGCTGTGAGCTATACAAATGCAAACCAGAGTTGCAGGGGGGGGGTTTACCCCAAGTGACATCTTTCTGGGTAAGAAAATCTCTGATACAAAGAGATCAGGCTCAGTATAGCCTCTTACATTTTAGCTGGAATTGATTTATTTATTTAAAGTATAGAGACCAAAACAGATCTTTAGCTGACAGAGCAATACATTTAGAGCAGTAATTATAAAAAAAAAAAATAGCATTTAAGATAAAAAATAAAATGTTGTCTGTCAATATGCTCAATTCACAATTACTTAAGTGGAAAAGTTTCAAGAAATGAGTCTGAGATGATTTACTTTATAACATGGCGCATTATCCTGTTGGAAGTAGCCATCAGAAGATTGGTACACTGTGGTCATAAGGTCCGGCCAGGTCAAGATCCGCAATTGCAATCGCACCAAACAGGAAAAAGAACATCGACAAATTCCGGTTCGTCAAATTAAAATATAGCAGCAACAGATCGGTGACTAGAAATTATAGCACAATTCTTATATAAAAAAAAAAAACTAACACCGTTTATTTAAATGATTGGATCCAAACTATTGGTTATTCACCAACGAGGAAGCAGATTTCTCATCTCCATCAAAATATTTATTTTATACCAAGGGACTTAAACTTTAATCAAATCCATTCAAAAGAAACTTCTTATTACAGGAATGAAAAGAGATGCTGAGTTTGGAAGTAGTGAACAAGTTCATTAAAAAAAAAGCAGTTTTGAATTATCCTTATCCCCGTTACAAAAATCTACATATATATTTGGGCAGAAACTGAACATATGCTGGATGATGGTGGGATTTTTTTAATATGTCATATTAAATTAAGCGCTCACAGGGTTCATACAGGAATGAGTGACTCTAATTTAATGCTATTTTAATGCTATTTGAAATGATTTTAATGCCATCATCAA